AAGAGCAGTGAAATGTTTTCTCTAATGTCCACTTTTTTTTTTAATAGTTTTGGCCGAGGCTGGGTTTGAACCCACCACCTCCAGCATATGGGGCCAGCACCCTACTCCTTTGAGCCACAGGCGCCACCCTATGTGTCCACTGGTTTTGATAGCCACAGTCTTTGCTCCTTTGATGTCCACAGTTCTGCTGGAAGACACATCAAATGTGAGAGGGACCTCGTCCATATTGGCGATTTGGGACAGCTCAAAGTTGTGATTCTTTCAAAGATTGATAACATACAAATGAAATTCCAAAACTTGACTCTTACAGGTTGCTGAGAGTTGTGGGGGCAAATTTTGTTCACGTTCTCATGCTCAAACCTTTACTCTTCATAAAATTAAAGTACCATTCAGGTGTCCCTGGAAAATTATCACTGTTTTTTTCCTCATGCAATCCTCTATGGTCTATTTGTATCCTCTTGGTCAAAACAAAAATCCCAGCTTGACACTGCTCCAGAATCAAGTCTTTATCTTTTGCTCGACCTCCAACCATTTCAGAGGTCTCCCTCGCATTGCCACCTTCTGCCTCGGCATCTAAAGAAGCTTTTCTTTCTGTCTCCTCAATCCGATGCCATTCTCTACAGAAGGAGTCCAAAGTGCCTCTCCACAGCATATTTAATAACTGTTAGCTTAAAGGTTGCAGCTTACGAAAAGTATTTTGGTATTTTCCAAGGGATTTTCCAATAAATTTTGTAAAAATATTAGCTAGATTGCTAGCTCCCACTTAAAGTGTACAAAGAGAAATATGTTGCTCTTTGTTGGCTGAAAATTGGGGATTGCATCACCCAAGTGAAAATCTGCGTTAAAAAATGTCCCCCAATTATTCTTCACCAGAAAGGAAAATGTGTTATATATGAAAACTTGGACAACAGATGAATCTAGGCCACATCTCAGGAGTGGAAATATTGGGGTATCAGAACACTTTACTCAAAAGTAAAAGAAAAAAACCCTTTCTAGCTGGGATCCTTTCTTCCTGACCCT